TTAACACAGAAAGTCACAAGTGGCTAAAATGTAGAGAATAAGAGACTGTACAGTGTGTGTCTTTGGATTGGACTTCTATATTAATCCTCATCCACCCAGGGCTCAGGGACCATTGTGGAAGTGAGCATGGAAAGGTTGTAAGAACAAGGGGTAGTAGATGACCACAAGAAAATAGAGTTTTTCAGGCTTCTGGGAACTTACTCATCTGAACTTAAGAGCAATGGTCAGAATATATATACACAAGACCCATGCAAACTCAATCAGATGGAAAATCCACAAAGAACTGGTAGGTGAGGGAGAGTTGGTCATCTTTAAGGGAGTGATGCTAGATAGGCCTAACAGGTTCCAGTAGATGAACTCATACTGAGAAACATCTGAGATATAAACTTGACTTGATAAACTTAACAGATATGACAGAATGCATGAACGCCAACAAGGGTAAGGGATATGGAGTGGTGCAGATATGGGGTGGGGGTCTAAATATGATTAAGCTGTAATGTTTGAAATGCTTAAAAATTCAATAAAAAAATTAAAAACTTATTGAAAACTAACACTGGGGTGGATGTGGGGAAAAGGGAATGTTATTCATTGAAGGTGGGAGTCCAAACTGGTACATATACTATGGTAATCATTGTGGAGGTACCTCAAAAAGCTAGAAATAGATCTTCCATACCATCCAGCTATACCATTCCCATGTATACACCCAAAGGACTCTGTCCTACTACAGATACTTGCTCATCCACGTTCATTGCTGCTCTTTTCACAATAGCCAGGAAATGCAGGCAATGTATATGCCCATCAAGGTATTAATGACTAATGAAAATGTGGTACATTTACATAATAGAATATTATTCAACTCTTAGGAAAAACTTAAATGTACATTAAATGGCTGGAACTGGAAATAATCATCCCAAGTGAAGTAACTTAGACCCAGAAAGACAAATGTCACACATTCTCACAGATAAATGCTACTTTTGTATCCCCCCCCCCCATGTGTGTGTTTAAATTGTAATAGATATAGAGGTCAGGAAGTGGGGCTGGAGAGATGGCTCAGCAGTTAAGTGCACTAACTGCTTTTGCAAAGGAACCAGGTTTGATTCCCAGCACCCACATGGTGGCTACAAACTGTCCTTGACTCCAGTTCCAGGGGAATCCAACACACTATTCTGACTTCCGTGGCATTGCATGACATGGGTGCACTCACACACATGCAGACAATACATTCATACACATAAAATAAAAAACATATATATTTTATAAATATATATGTGTAATATATATTACATATTGAGCCAGTAAACTAGTAAGGGGCCAGGTATATGTGGATCTTTCAAGGAAAGGATGATAGAATACAGGTGATATGAAGGGGGAGTGGGAAATAATGGAGCAGGAAGGATAAAGTGGGGTGGATGATTGGAGGGCAGATGGTACCAGTTTGTTTTCTGTTCCCTGATAAAGCAGTGACCAACATCAACTTGGGTAGAAAGGTTTTATTTAGCTTACAGTTATAGTCCATTCTTGAGGCAAGCCAAGTCAAGAACTTAAGGCAGGAACCTGGAGGCAGGAACTGAAGCAGATATCATCAGGGTGCTGCTAACTGGCTTGCTCTGCTACCTTCCTTACACAGTCCTAGGGGTGGCAATACCCATAGTTGGCTGGGTTTTCCTATATAAATTATCAATCAAGAAAATGCCCCAATGACATATCCACAGACCAATCTGACAAGAGGAAATTCCTCAAATGAGGTTCACCTTCCTGGGTGTGTAAAATTGACAAGATTAGCCATCTCAGTAGAGTAGAAGTGAATGTATGGGGAGGGATAAGTAACAATGAAGACCTGAGATACAGTCTAGAAGCTCCTACTACTATAGGAGCTTCCTAATATCCATATAGGTCTATCATCTATCATGTATCTATCATGTATCTATCATGTATCTATCATCTATCATCTATCTATCATCTATCATCTATCTATCTATCTATCTATCTATCTATCTATCTATCATCTATCTATCTACCTATCTATCATCTATCTATCTATCTATCATCTATCTACGGAACTTAAATATAGTTAACCCTGTAACCGGGGGAAATACCTCTCCTAGACACCATAGGCTAACAAATGAAAAGCCCAGGGACAGAAATGTTACCTCTTTTGGAGTTGTTGGTCAGTGAGGTTCATAGACCTGAAAACATTACTGGCTATTGTCACTGTTGTTGGTTACCCTCCAGAACTTGATGGCAAGATTGTTGCTGAAGGCACCATATACTTGTTTTATAGAACATGAAGAAACCAAGCTGTTACCAACCTGTGAGCTACATCTCTAGTGGGTAGCTTTCAATACTGCTGAAAGGTGCTATGCAAGCTACTGGGTAAGAAAAGTAATCATCAGTCTTACCCAGCTGTGAACCCTGTGAGTGATACTAGTGACTAACATAGAAAGATATGACCATTGGTGCTATAGGGGCACAAATGTCATAGAAATAACCAACAACTTTCCCAATGGATTTAAAGCCCACTCTACAAACTCATGCCTGGCACTTTTAACAGGGCCAAGAACTCACAGCTAGGTAGGCTATAGGCCCTAGGGGAGAATAATTCTACTAAATAGACATAGTATTAAGCCAATATCAGCCAAAATCTAATGATTCATAATTATACATATAGATTAGTGCATCTCCCAACTCTCATCAGAGAAGCTGCTTCATGCAGTAAATTAATACACAGTCAACATGCAGAGAAGGAGACAGTGGAGTGTTCAGCCCTAAATGGGACATCTGTATCACACTCCAGACTCTCAAGGATTGCCACAGAAGAGTTGTTGGAATATTATAAGAACCAGAGGCAGTGAATGACTACAGTGATAGTGTTTCTGGACACAACAGGGCAGTTGCACCTATAACACTAACAGCATACAAAAGATCAAGATCAAGACAGAAAATAATCCCAACATGGAGCAGGGAATTGGACACAAAATCTCAACCCTAGCTGAGGAGCTACTGGCAACTGACCATCACTGGAAGAAGAAACGCCAGCTTTCTTCAAGGCTGTGCTCCTCAGAAGCTACACATGATTCAGTGGATGACTCTACGGCTACGTACAAACTAGCAGCACTAAGTGGACTCAGTGGTTTTAGAATAAACAAAAACACAGAACAAATAAAACTGGAAGGGAATAGTGGTGGGGAGAGAGGAGAGAAACTGGGAGAGAGGGAATGGAGACAGATTTTATCAAAACACATTAAATGCACGTATGAATTTCTCAAACAATAAAAATGCCAACTTCTAAAACTATTTAAAATGCCTAACAAATATTATAAAGAAAAAAGAAATCAGAGACCTCAAAAACTAACCTGCTTATAAACATCAGCACCATGGACAAAACAAGCAGCCAGCATCCAACATCCAACATCCAAATCAGTAAATGGAAAGAAATTAAAGTTGGGGCAGAATTTAATATTTTGCATTTGCATAGCAAAGCATGACACACAGATACCATGTGGAGGGGTTGCCGGGGGCTAAGTGCCCTTTCCTGAAATGGGCGTAAAATCATTTTGAAAGTGCAACCCTAGTTTGGTACTCTGAAGGAGTTCTGCAAGTGTCTCAGGTGTGGGAGGCAGATGAAGTCCTATTTGTTTAAACATAAACTATGGCTTTAGTGGAAAATGTAATGTCACACATAGGCATGTGTTTGAACACTGGGTCCCCAGTTGCTGGCGCTGTTTGGAAAGGTTGTGCAACCTTTAGGAGGAGGAACCTTGTTGGTAAAAGAGGGTATCTGGGGATGAGTATGTGTGTAGGGGTGTTGATGTTTTATAACCCAGCTGTACTTCCTGTGTGCAGAAGCAGTAGGACCAGCCTCCCTCTCCCGCTAGCATACATTCTCTGATAGCTACCATGTCTTCTCCACCACAGACTGTATCCCTCCAGAACTGTGTGCCTAAACAAACCCTCTCTCCCTTAAGTTGCTTCTGTCAGGATATTTTATCACTGCAATGATTAACTAAGACTAAAAGCTTTCTAGTGTTAACTCTCCACATATGACAGTTTGACACATTCAGTCGTATTCCAGAAAACCACATGGAGTACCTCTTACCACAGATTAAACATGGAACTACCTTGCCTGTTTTTCTAAATTGGCTTCCAGATGGGTCAACTTTAACAAATTTGTTGAAGTCAATGAGCCATCTTTCTTCAGGTACATAGTGTAGTAACCCCTGCACATTACTGATGCCAGTAGAAAACCACCCCATTCTCTCTTCCTACCTCACAGGCAGGAAGCGACTCTAGAAAGTCAATCCATTCTCTTTCTCCATTTGTTGGTGCCTGTAAGCTTTAGAGCCGTATCTGCATATCTTACCGGTGACAGAACATTTATTTCTTTGCAGCCTGTGATACGGAGTGTGTCCTATTAATGCTGAAATCCCTTAGATTCCCTGTGGATCTGCTATAGGAGAAAGGGCATGCCAGAAGATCTGGGATATTTAACAGTCAACTCTGTAGTGATTGAAAATAGCATGGTATTTATTTTCAAAATTTATTTCTGCAGAATGTTTTTACAATTTATTAGGGATATATATATATATATATATATATGGATGTTCTAAATAAGTAGTAAAAATTCCATTTTCCCAAAATTCACTTGTGTTTACCAGAGCACACATTGACTTCAGTCATGAGGATTACTGTGCTAACACAAATTACTTGTTTGTTCTACCCTCCAACTATATCAGTACTACAACCAAAACACCAGGAAATTTGGGTGGTAAGAGTACTTTTCTGATTTACAATTTGGACTATTGGTTGAAATGTTCACTGTACAGCCTAAGAGTATCATGTTACACATTGTTAACCAAAGAAGATGTAAATGGAATAAGATAAAATTTTACTAGTATTATAGATATATTAGGGATATTTTATAAAGAAAAGGGGAAAGAGCAAATAATGCTCCTATAACTCCCTAAGTCCTTTGGCGCAGTAAGAAAACAAGAGGCCATCACTGACTAACAAATGGATGACTTTATTAAGAGAAGTCCAGATAGGTATTTACTTCAAACCATGGAAAACAAAGCACACAGACTTACTCATACAATGCTTTGGTTTAAAAATTATTCATAACATCAATGTTAAACCTGATGTTTGAAGAAACAAATGGGATCAAACAGTGTAAAATAGAAACTATGAAAACATAAGCTTGCATAGATGAATTATGTGGATGTACAAGTGGCATTAAAGAAAGGCTTGAGCACTGGAGAGTGCCTTATGTTGACCACCCACCTCCCCAGACTCATGAAAGTAACCAGCACCATGTTCTCGTCTTCAGTGAGGTTATGGGCAAGAACCATTTGGGCTGTATGAAAATAAACTGAAAAAGACTGTTTATGTCAGCCTAATTCAGATGGGCATATACATAGCCACCGGTACCACCACCAGTCACTTTAAGGCATTCACACAGTGTCCCTTACAGTTAGTTTTATTTAATCTCTAGACAGGCATGTGGTTTGAGGTGGCCTGTTTTCTGCTCTCAGACAAGACACTATATTCTATCAAGGCTCTGTTCATATCTATGGAATACCTATTTCATAGCTGCTTTTTTAAAATATAAACTGATTAGCACTTGAGGTATCATCTCACATGATTTATAAGCATATCCACATTACAAACATCTAAGGGGCTCTTACCAGATGAAGTGCGTGGACCCTGTGTGGTCTCACTGTCAAGAGATTACTTTTCCCATTATAAGACAAATGACCATATCACTTCGAATATCCTGAGACACTTGATTTCTGTGACAAATTCTTGTCCTTTTTTTCAGCACCTTTTCAAAATATGTTTTTTCGGGTATGTTCTTCTCAGGAGATCACAGAGAATTGCCATTTTGGTACATCACTTTTATATGCTATTTCCCCCATTGCATTTTCTAATTATTTACATTATGTCATGAAACGAATTTTGTTTGTCTGTTAAGAGAAAGGTGGACAATGCATGTATTTGTCAGGAAGGGCATCTGACTTCCAGTTTACAGCAAGGACTGAAGCTACTGCCTATGGAGACTTCACAGAAAATTTAAGTAGTACAAAAATTCTGATACCAAAAACTCTCAGCAAATTCTTAGCCTCAGTTTCCACAATTATGGTAAGAATTGAGTACAGCAGACTATGTCCAAAGTACCATTTGTCATAGTGCCTTCCTGTCACTGCTTTCGATATTGCTGGGTTTTTGAGGAAATGTCACTCAAACCATTCAGCTTTCCTCCTCTTCATATTTGAATTCACCAATCAACAACGGGGCAAGAAGTTACATGATTAACTCAGCCCCAATTGAAACGGCTGGAGAAAGCACAGATGAAAAGCTACTACGAAAGAGAAAAATACTTTCCATTTTGCTGTGAACACAGAAAGGGATATTAAATCTATAAGGAACATGTTAGCAGGCAGTGTTCAGATTTACATAAGGGAAAGAGAATGGCTTTTAAGGCCAAATACTTCCACGGATTGAAATGATTCCTTACATGACTCTTAGTTTATGGAATCAAATACAGACTTTAGGAGCTACTCTTCTATCTTCTCTGCCATAACAAAATTCATTCTCTTTTAAAAGTAGTAAATCAGAATACTCTTTGCATCAGAAAACTGCCTGTTTCAAGTTAATGTCTCATTTTGCTTGATTTTTTTCCCCATATTTGTTAATGGCAAATGAACATTTCAATACATAATGGTATTCACAAAATTTTTGGAAATAATTTGAATGTCTTCACTGAACAAAAGAATTGTTAGAAATTCCTTCTACACAGTCACCATCAGAAAGAACAGTAAACTATCAAGTGTTTAAAGTGTGATCATCTGTTGTGAGGACTCTAGGGAATTCTCTCCTTTCCACAGCACAGTGGGAGAAGTCCAAAGCTCCAGATGACAAAGATGCTTGAGGATCTTCAATGAATTTTACACTAAGAGAGAACTGACAGTCACTCACAGACACTGGGTACAATGGCCTCAGTTGGAGTCAGACTAACTTAAGGCAAACTTGATCTTCACAGACATTACTGGCATAAAGTGCAGGGATCATCAGAAAATGACTTGACTACTGATGTGTTCCCAGTTTCTTCTTGCCTTCTTGGATTCTCTACAATTAAATTTGAGCATTTTTGATTAATTATATACCAAGAACACCACCACCCTCTGGTTCTTCCTTTTAACAGTCTTACATAACATCATGGGTTTTAAAACAGAAAAGAACCTTCCATCAAGAATTTGAATGATACTGTGTTCCATGCAGCATTAACAGAACACTCCAGAAGAAGCTTCTCTCTGCCTACATTGTGTACCACAGGATATGAAGAAATAAGCATCCTGTCACGAATAAGATATGGAGCTATGGCTCTAAAACTCACAGGCACCAACAGATAGGAAGAGAGAACGGGGTAACTCTCTAATCACTTCTCTGTGAGCAGCGTGTAATAGATATAGCATATACTTCAAAAATCTTTTTGCTGAAAGATTAGGTTTTGATTTTTTTTTAAATGATTGTTTTAAACAGCCTATGCTATGAGAATAGGCAGAGCACAGAGAGAGAAAGCTACATGGACAGCGTTCCCCTTCCATGTTAATGCTCCCTACACAAACACTGTTCTCTCCAAAGGGAAGAGGGCTTTTATTGGAAACTCTATGCTGTTCTCAGGCCTTATACTTCCTTACACAGGTGTCTCATTGCTTCATTAGGCTGATGATCTCAGCCAATCAACAGTTATTTTTTAAGAAAAGAAACAAAGAATAACACATATTCATGTTTCCCAAAGTGAATATCATATAAAGGCAAGCCTTGTTAAAAATCAAGGCTGTAAAATGTTAACTACTTCTGTGGTAAACTGAATGCACCATATTATAGCAGGTTTCCCAATTTGGCGCAAAAAATTTAGAAAGATATGACAGTATTAAAGAAAAGTATCAGGTAAAAGAAATCTTTTCATACTGACATGTTCTGACTGTGAAAGGAATGAAGAACTGTCAGCAGTGACTGTAGGCATCATCTAGTTGCTTGGAAGAGCAAGACAGGCATAGACACGATTCAGAGTTTTCTAGAATAAGTTCAGTGGGACACAAGGTCCAAGGTCACACATTTTAGATTGTGACCAAGATCCAAAAGGCCACTGCACCTGTGAAAAGGTTTTCTTCTTGGGAACTTCTATTCCTATCTTTCTAATTTTGGTTTTGCTTTGTTCTGCAGTTCATAAGTATGCTGCCATCTGTCAAAGTCAACTGAGACGTAAGTATTTCAATGGCATGCAGAGTCACTTTCAAAAAATTTCAATATTCTTTTACAGCAAATGAAATAGCGACATACTCTCCTAATAAAATAAAATGTCTAACAGTGGCTTGAACATTAGAATCAATTTTCTTTCAAGTGAGAATATATAAACTGACTGATCTGGGCAATAGTTACAAAACATGAGGCAGGGGAAGAGACAGTGTAATGTCAAGTAGCCTTAAGAATGGCCCCTTAACACATTGTGCTCATTCAGCAATACTGGTGCTAACAGAGGTTGGCCTCCAGAGAAAAGAGATTTAAAAACTGATTTTCCAAGGCCAGAGGAATCAGTTTATATCATAGTAGTAATGCATAATACACTGTGGCTCTAATAACTAAACTGCATGTGCTCCAGCAACTCTAACAGGAACAGATCAATGCTTTCGTGCTCATATAAAATTGACAAAGTAAAAAAGCAGAAAGCACAGTGAAAAGTGGCAGTCCATTAAGAGTTGCTAGTTGCTTCTATCACCTCAAAGATACATTATTTGAGTGAGAGAATTTAATGAAAAACATTAGATTTCTATCTTCTTATTTGCAAGTAAATAATTGACACTCTTAAAAAAGTGTTCACCTTACAAAAAGAATAAAATAAACAATATTTTAAAATTCTACTCTTAAAAACTTAAAAAAAAGTAACAAGTTTTCAATACTGATGCTGAACTGGCTATCAGAAAAGCAGTGCTACCTTTGGCCGTCCACTAGGACGGGTGGGACACCAGGACAGGTGGTGGGACACTAGGAAAGCTGGGACACTAGGACGGATGGGACAATGAGACGAGTGGGACACTAAGACGGGTGGGACACTAGGATGGGTGGGACACTACGATGGGTGGGACACTACGATGGGTGGGACACTAGGACAGCTGGGACACGAAGACAAGTGGTGGGTCACTAGGACGGGTAGGACACTAGGACGGGTGGGACACTAGGGCAGTTGGAACACTAGCACTCTGGTTAGGTGGTCTGTAGTCTTTAAATTGAAGTATGTCTGTTCTACAATAAATATGGCTAAATGAAGTTCATTAAGGGAAAAGAAATGCAGGTTTTTAAAGTAAAAGTGATTCTTCCATGAAATAGAAAAATAAACATTTGTAAAATAAAAATATGGCAAATTATGTTGCTTATTTTGCCTAATTATCAAATAAAAATACTATTGTATTTTTTCTTTAAAGTTAACATTACAAAATATTTTCTAAAACATGAAATAAAAATCACAGGGCAGATAAAGAAAGATATAGCATTACTATAAATCAACAAGACTAAATTTTGAATACTGAAACCACTAGGTGAAATTTGACTTGAGGTCAGAATTTTCATTTTATCTCTCCTTTCCTAAATGAAGACTTTTCTATACTTATTTCATAATCAATATTCATGTGTTATTTTTCCTTTTCTTTATTTTCCCAAAATGACTATACCTCTTGAAGTTGTATTTCCAGATGGCCATTTTCCCAAAATTTAACTCTTCTTAGTTGCTTTTTACTCAAGTCCTTATGACATAAAAAACTTTATGAAAGCAAAGATCTTTTTCAAAATTAGATCCAAATTCATTCTGGAATCTGTTCAAAGGAGCTTCCCTGAATATGTTAAGACAGTCTGGAAATGCAAGGCAAACAGAAGGCAGCTCCCAGTGGGGGGTGGGGGTCGGGGGGGGGAGAACTCACTAAAAACTTTCTCTCCAGTCACCTATCACTTCTTTTCAAAACGAATAGCATACTGAAATACCACAGATTCATACAATGAAAAAGAACAGCAAGTTAATCTGAAGGAACGTTTTCTATGCACAGCTCAGTTGCCATTTGGATTAACTAAGCAGAAAGGGTAGATAAACATTTCCACTACTTAGCAGCTAGATGAAAGGTTTGAAGGGAGGGGCTTAAAGGAATCATACAAAGGAACAGAGCAACGGTTCACAGGTGATAATCACCAAAGCCCACCAAAGTTAACTTCAGCCTGCATTAGTCTAATTACTGATGGGGGACACCAAATATTACTGAGAGCTGCCAACAAATGCTGCTCTGCCCTTTAGGCAAGAGGCTTGATCTACAGTCAGCAGGAGTAATGGCACCATCTCTTATGAAAAAAAAAAAAAAAATGAAAAACTATTATTCCTTTGGCTCTGCAAGTAAATATAAAACAAAGGACAAAAGTTTTTTTTTCTTCTTTAATTTTCAATGGACTGCATGGACCTACCTGAGTGAAAATATCCAAGAATAAAGTGTTTATGAAGAAATGATACACTGCCCTGGAGCTTCAGAAAGTCTTGCTGCAGGGGAATCAACAGCACGCTAGGTGTTAAAGAATGGTATCTAGGACAATTTTCCCAGGAAGGCTTATAAGGATATGCAAAACCTCTACCAAATCCATGTATTCAGAATAACATACTTCAACTGCTCCAAGGATTTCTTCTTTTAATATTTTATGTTTTTTTCTTTTCCTAAAGAGAATAAAAACCAAAGGCTCTGTCCTTCAAAACAACATACTAATACACCAAAAAAGTTATTTCTTATTTCTTATATTCTTTGATTCTGCATTGCATCCGAATGTTATGTTTTATTTTATAATTCATCCTTATACATTTATAATGGCTAAATAACCCCTGGGCCCTGGAAATCTAGAGCAGCACTTCAGAGAGCTCTTACATACTCCATCTCGGGCTCAGGTTCAAAGTAGTGCTACCCAGTATTCAGAAGCTATATTTTCTTACACTGCCCAAGTGATCAGCAATAACCAAAACATTTGAAACACAGTGAAATTTTTTATGGTTAGAAAAACACTTGAGAATAAATCCATGGAATGACAACATAGGAGTACAAGGACAAACACGGAATGTATTTTGTATTAGTCAGTAACATTTGCTACAGCAAGTCCATTTTCAAGGCAGAGTCTTAAACTTCTACTGCTTTTTATGGAAACCTGGGGAAAGGAGAAAGAAAGGAAAAATAATTAAGATTAAATGCTTCAATTTCATTTTGTCTATGCCCAAGACAATTCATCTAAATTTTTAGAAATTTCTAAATTTCTTTAATATATTTCTTTGATTCTGTATACAAGATATTTACATACATAATCAATTTTTCATTTTAATATTATGCAGCAAATATATGTCAAAGACAGTTAGACACACCTTGACCCCAAATGCTACATGCTCAGTGTGCGAAAGGAAAGCACAAGCGCCTGCAATGACACGGATGCTGAAATGCCAGCAAATGAGGGCTATGGGGATGCAGGGTCCCTGCAAAGGACGGGGCATTGCCCAGCTACCCATCTCCTGCACTGGTTTCGCTCTTAATTCTCAACTGTGGTTGGTGAAGATGAAGAAGGGCTGCTTTCAAAATAGTGCAAAAGCCTCATGCCGTTTGCCCAAAGATGTGGATTTAATTTGTTAGAAATTTTATCTATGTAATGGTATGTTTTACATAGAAAGGGGTCATTCACAAGAAATTCGGTAAGCCTACCATTAGCTTTGAAAAAGGATAATAAAAGTATCATCTAAGAAATCTCCAAAGATTTTAACAACAAACAAGGTCTGTCAAATAAGACCTGATGTTTGTGACATGTACTACAATCATCTTCCATGTATATTTGTAGGTTTTTTGGGGGGTGGGGGGTAGGGTCTCACTATGTAGCCTGGATTAGACTGGAATTCCAATTCTCCTGCCTCTGGAGTGCTGGATTACAGGTGTGTACCACCATACCAGCCTTCTTCCATAAATCTTACCTTTCATGACCTCCACAACTCTGGATTATTTCATTGCCTTTATTTTGTAGATGAGGAAGTTAACATAAGAAACTACCTCTCTATTCATTTTATCAATTTTCACAAATACGTGAGTACATACACTGTGAAGAACAAATGTATCCAACTATGCTTTCCATCTGAAAGTTCCTCCACTGTAAATCACCATTTCTTTTCTCGTTTCCTTTCCTTTCTTCTCAGCAAAACTGTTATGTGGTGTGTATGTGAGCACACTGTACATCTAATCCATCATTCATGGATGGGCTGCGTACACTTCATCCAAAATGCTTGGGACCAAACTGTTTTAGATTTCAGAACTTTTCTTTGGAGTATATGCATAAACTCCTAATGTGCTCAACCTCTAATCAACATTAATACAAATTATGGGCAAAGTGCATCCCTAATTTGAAAATCTAAATCTGAATTTCCCCCAAAATCTGAAACTTTTTAAACAACATGTCAGTATTCAAAGCCTTCAGACCAGATTTTCAAATGTCAAGTGTTTAGCCTATAGAGAAAAAGAGGTCCAAACATCTATAAGGGACTCCAATTCTCCTCCACTAATGTGGTTAAAGCTCTAACCTCTCTCCAGAGGAAAATGTAAATACATCGAAAGTCTCGCATTGAACTTAAGGTGCCGTATTTTTATCTTTCCTGATTATGCTTCAGTAACTACTGAGAGAATGGGAAAATTATTTTTTCCACAGCAGTAATTAGAAGACAGTATTTGGTTTCCTTCATAAGAGGCAGCTCACAAAGATCTCAAGCTTGCCTACAGAGACTCTCCTTACCTTTATGAGAAGACTCTGACTTTAAGAAGTGGCGCGGGGCACAATGCTGGTCTGTAAAATGGTTGTAATCCAGGTCTTCAGCTTCCGTCATTGTAGGTGGTGGTGGCCTAAAGGAAGACCGAGTTTAAGAGAGAACTAAGTGAAAGTTCCAATCCCATTGCTCACTGACTACATAGAAAAAACTTTTTTCTGTAGAAATTGAAAGCCAAAATGCTTTCAAATTACTTGAATAAACTATTTGACCATATTATTCTGGTGAATTAATGCACATAATCTCAATACCTGTATGTGCGGGGCATCCTGCTCCAGAAGGAAAAAGGAAATGAGGTACAGCATGCTATTAATTTACTTCCTTTTGTCAGGGGTTATCAAGAAAGGAAGAAGGCAAGAAAGAAGTGAAAATATTAATAAAGCAAAGAGACATGAAAACAAAGAGTTAGAAAGAGCGGCGAGCAAAATCCATATTCCACCAGGTGGCGAAGTTCTACCTCCTGTGTAATATATCTACAACTTTTTAGGTCAAAATAAAACAAGATGTCATGAAAAGAGTTTTCATACTAGATGTTTTATTATTTACTTATTCGAATACAAACTTCTGAAAATATTTAGCATTGATGAAAAAAAAATTTTTTTCAGTCTTTTTGAGACAGGGTCTCCCTGTAGCCCCAGCTGTCCTGGAACTCATTATGTAGACCAAGCTGGCCTTGAACTCACAGAGATCTGCCTGCCTCTGCCTCCCGAGTGCTGGATTAAAGGCATGCGCCACCACACCCAGCCTACGTTGATAAAAATTTTTAAAAGCCTATTTCTTTGTTTCATTTCCTACAGGTATAGTCAATTTTGCTTTAAAGCATAGAACCAGATGAGGTTAATAGTTATCAATCTATAACCATTTTACAGGATGTTTTATATAATCATGAGATATATGTATACTGAGGTTTGGAAAATTAGAGACACTTTGGTACATAATTGACTCTGTAATATAAAAACAAAAGCAAGTCTATTTAAATTTCTCCATCTATACCTGGTAATAAGTCTCTCCCTGGCACCTGGAAGGGTCAAAAGGAATGTTAACTTGTGTATACAGTGGGCTGTACTTATCTCAGCTAACCTATAACACAAGTCTACACGGCAGCACCAACATATAAAGACACAGGTTAGATGAGGTTAGTGACTGGTTCAAGTCCACATATTTGTTAAGTACAGATATGGCACTCTTGGTAAGAACAGAATCAAATGGATTCCAAAACCAGTTTTCTGCTCAACACAGTGATACATAGTGTTTGCATTTGTTAGCAGAAAGCACAGTGCCTGCAAAGATGGTGTGTGTCTTTATATTTCATATGGAAGCAGTAAAGGAAGATCTGTGCTTTTTGTAGCCCGAGACCAAACAGAACAACACAGCAAGAGAACTGAAGGCCTCTTAGAGTGATTTGTTTGTATTTTGTTATTTTTATAAGATATACTTTTATGTTTTCATCCATGCTATATCCATACAAATAATTTAAGTATAGTGAATATGGTATCGCTTCACCTTGAACCATTTGCTCACAAATATTAAATGACTGTTTCCTTTCATTGTTGACTGGCATTCATAACACCTTAAAAAGTAACATAAAACTTGGTAGGAAGAATTGAGGCAAAACAATCCAAGTCCAGGACTCAGCTTCACAAAGTGACTAAGGATGTGACTGAAGCCCAAGAAAAGAACTTGGGTAACCACTGTGGCAGAGTGGATTTTATGCTTTCATTAACCTCATCAAGGGCCCTCAAATCAGATGTAAGCACTGCACACCCTTGAAAGGATGAGCAATTCATGCTGGGAGCCTCAGCTCTCTAGCTGTGATACTCTATTCAGTTCTGGGCTATGCAGAGAATAAATCCTGACTTACTGCTTCCAGGAATCCTGCCGAATTATTTTGTTTCAACAGAGATGGTTGTTTCAAAGTTAACATATTTATAGTTGTCCTAGTTAGTTTCTCCATTGCTGTGACAAAACATTCTGAACACTACCAACTTGGGGAGGAAAAAGTTTATTCTGCTTACATCTCCTGAGTCACAGTTTTTATCAGAGCCCAAGGTAGGAACTCAGGCGGGAACTTGGAGGCAGGAACTGGAGCACAGGCCATGGAGGAATGCAGCTTACAGGCTTGCTCCCTGCACCCACCCCCTACCGCCTGCTTTCTAATGCAACACAGGCCCACCTGCCCAGAGGTGGCACCACCTACAGTGGGTTGGGCCCTCCCACATCACTCAACAATCAAGAAGGTGCCCTCTGGACATGGCCACAGACCAGTCCAATGAAGACAATTCCCCAATTGAGGCTCCCTCAACCCAGGTGTGTCAAGTTGACACTAAAGCTACCCAGCACAACAGTTAAAACTAGAAAAGTTCTTACTAATCAAAAGTTCATTTTGTAGTTTTTGGTGTATTAGAATTACCTACTTCCCACTGTTCTCATGAAACGCTTACATCTTTAAATTAGTGACATCTCTAAATGTTTTTCAGAGTTCACTTCAAAAATCATTTCAAATTTCTTCAGGAAATTTGCCTGGTCATCCTAAGCAGGTTATGTATTTCTTTATGCTTTTACATATTTCCTGTGTTTATCCATAGCCATGAACTTTAATCATGAGAGCTATTTGAATAATCTGTTAGGGTATAACTTCATAGAAGGATGAAAAATTCATTCTTAGGGACTGCACTTGTATTATTAGTTCTGTGCAATTATCAGGGTGACCACTAAATGAGCAAGGAGATAAACAGACTTCACATTCATACGAATGTGCTGGAAACCTAAGGAAATATGTAGACTCTCCAGCCTTTTGTATACTAAAAATGCAGCTAAAACACCACTGACATTTTCAATATAAAATCCTACAGTTAAAACATTTCATTTTCTTTTTTTTAGACAAGTTTTTGCTATACAGCCCAGGGTGGTGTCCAACTCATGCTCCTCCTGCTTTAGCCTCTTGAGTGCTGTTTCTAGGTATGTACCACCATGCCCATCTAAAGTTATTCAAACTTGGATTATAACTTTTGACAGTTATGAAGAGTTAAAATTAATTCAGATTATTAACTGGGTCCCTACTGGGGGAGGGGGATTATAATAGACAAAGATATTGGATTTTGACTATGGATGTTCCAAGCTCTACACGAGAATCCATTTCCCCTTCTCTACTACATTGAAGCATGACACAGCACGACCTCAAAAGCTTCATGTTCTCCAATCCAGCTACGTCTTTTTATGTGACTAGCTAACTAAACCATCCCATCATGATTGAATGTGAAAGAGGCAACCACAGACTCTAAGCAGAAAGCACATACTCATGAATGAGCTACCAATGGTGTGTGTTTATAAACTATGAGAATTAATATTTCATGAAATCCTAATTCATCTTTGTTCTGTAATACACATAATCTTTCAGTAAGTAATATTTAAAAATAAATGTGCCTTCCAGATTAAGGAAAGATTTAAAAGGCTGGGCAGTGATGCAAACTCTTGGGAGGCTGAGACAGGTATATCTCTGTGAGTTCAATGTGAGCCTAGTCTAGATAATGAGTATATAATGAGTACTAGGCCAGGCCAGCTCATAAAGTGAGGCCCTGTCTCAAAAAGAAAACAAAAAAAACCCCAACAACAACAACAACAAAAAAAAGGGTAAAAACAGGGAGTGGAGAGATGGCTCAGTGATCATCCGTGATTAAAAGCACTGGCAATTCTTGCAGAGACCTGGGTTTGAATCCCAGCACCCACATGGCAGCTAACAACTGTCCGTAACTCCAGTTCCAGGGGATCCAACGTCCTCTTCTATCCTCTATGGGCACTGCACAACACGGGTGCACTTACACACATGCAGGCATAACACTCACACATATAAAATAAAAATAAATAAAAATTTTTAACAAACAACAAAAAGACTGAACTTCTAAACTCACTTTTCATTCTTTCTAAGAGCCATTTTACAATATACCATTTAATTTTTTACTTTCAATATGCCAAATATTCTTTATATTTTTCATATTGAAGTTTCTGACTTTATTTTGAATAATATTAGCAGTTAAAAGCTTCTACATGCAAGACTGTATCCATTTATATTCTAGAAACACCAGTTTCAAAATACTTCTAAAATGGCTATCCCAAAGTGCTCTATTATATCTCCTGCCAAAGTCATTAGTATTCAAAAGAGTAAAAGGACTCTGAAGACTTAAAAAAATATATAAAAATCATTTGAATTTATTTGGTCAAAAATTAATAAACAGATCTGTTACCACCTGAGAACAAATTGCTTCATATTTTATTTGGCTGCTGTGGGAATATACAGAAATACATCATTCTAAATATGTTGCATATGCTTAAGCAAAAGCTGAAACAGCAACAGATTTTACATAATTAGACAGACTGTGTTACTAATGACCTCCGAGCAGTACGAACCAGATGAGATTTTCTGAAGGATATCTTTTGAAAGCAGAAGAGTTTAAAAATAAACTTCTATTTTAAAACACTTTTTGCACATGTATATGGTGTCTGTGCATGAGTGTTCACATTTCTGTCGGCACAATGTGTACACAGTACACATGCCACGTGTGCATGTGCAGGCTCAAGGACGATGGGTGCTCCCCTTGATTCCTCCCCACTTTCTCCACTGAGGCAGAGTCCCTTGCTGAACCCATAGCATACCAATTTTCAGTTGGTCTAGAAAGTCAGCTGGCCTTGAGGTTCCCTGCCTCTCAAGTGTTGGGATTACAGGTGGCTGCTGAGCCTGATCAACTTTTATATGGGTTCTGCGGATACGGACTGTGATCCTTATGCTTGTATAGCAAGCACTTTCTCTAATAAGCTACCTCCAAAACCCAATAAGTTTACTAAGTATTAGTAGCCAGGATCAAAACTCAAGGTCTTAATATAATTCAGAGCTTTTGACATACTGCATTTAGTGGTTTTCGTTTTGTTTTGTTTGTTTGTTTGTTTTGACAGTGTTTTGTTTCCCAGACCCCAGGCTGGTCTTGAACTCACTATGTAGTCAAGGGTGAACTTGAATTTCTGATCCTTCTTTCCTTTACTTCCCTGGTTCTAGGATTATAAGCATTTACCATCATGCCCAGTTTATGCTGTGCTTGGGATTAAATCGAAGGTCTCATGCATGCTAGGAAAGTGTTTCTACAAATTGAGCTCTATCCACAGCTCCTACTTTTTTTATTGAATAATTGTAATGGATATACAAGTACATGACATTAGAACATATACACAAGATAACATAGTTCAATACATGTGTGTGTTGACTGATGTTTAACTCATAGTAACCATGTCTACCTCCTCCTTTATCACACTTCACAGTGAAAGCTCTCCCAGTGCTTCCATCCAGCTCCTTGAAATGCCTACTTCATGACTATTACTAAGTCACTCTACTGCTAAATACCACACCCAAACTTCTTGTTTCTATTTAACTACCAATTAATTCTGACTAATCAAATGTTCCTTGTTCTTCCCCTTTCCTTGCTTTCTCCTTACACTTATCAAATAGTCCTTCAAAAGACAACATAAACTAATAAAGAGAAAAAGCTCGCTTTCCCAAACTTAAATATTGAAGATGTGAGGTGGAGAGAAAGCAGTTTTCCATAACTAGGACTGTTGGAGAAGTTCAGGAAGAACACAGCACAGGCAGCCATTTGTTCCAGTGAGACAGTAAGTCTGCAAGGCAAATAATTGCCTAGGACATCGAGACTCAAGAGAGAAATGAATTTGCTTAAATGTCATGCAAACACCAGTGTGGTTATGAAAAAACCCCAAAAAACTTTTTATGTGTATTTTTTCCTGTATGTACATATGTACATGTACCTGTGTATGTGTACAGGCGTGTGTATGCATGCAGAGGCCAGAGCAGGATGTTGGAATTCTTCGATTGCTCTCCCACCTATTTTTTTGAGACAGTCTCTCTCAAACCTGGAATGTGCTGTTTTGGCTGGACAACCAGCAAGATTGCAGAATCAACCTGTCTCTACATTGATACTGGGGTTACAAGCACGAGCAGCCAAGTCCTACTCTTGAGAGGGTGATAGCAATTAGAACTCAGGTCTTGCTTTCATAGCAAGTGCTCTTGCCCATCTCCTTGGCCCCCAACCAAAATTTAAAACCTGAGATTTAATTTTGAAAATAGTTAATCTCTCTCTCCTAGGCTGAGGGCATAAATTCAGTATATGTAAAGATAAGAAGCAGTCCTAAAAAAAAAAACACATTTCACCCTCTACAGCTCAGTTTCTATTGACTATTCCTTATGTGACTCGTGCAAGCCAATTAAGACTAGAAATAAGATTTGAGAATAACACTGTAACACTTGACATTACACAACTGTAGATTTTTGGCTCTCCACTTGAAACAACAGTCTTCTCAGTCAACTGACATGCCTTTACTTACCCCAAAGTCAACCTTTCCATTCTCCTTTTCAGGTGTCATCTTACCTTGATGGCCTGTCAATCTTAGAACGGTGACCATCATCACTCTCTTTTGATTTTGAATGTGTTGACTTAGCTGCTTTTGACTGTGGATTACAAAACAAAACACTGATCAAGCGAAAGATGAAGCTTATAAAATATATATCCCACATCAAGCTTTCCTTTGAGTTTTAGGTTACATTTAGTTAAGCAATATAAAATATTTTTATATACATTTTTATATGAAACTCAGGTTAAAAACATAGACAGGGGCTGGAGAGATGGCTCAGCAGTTAAGAGTACTGACTGCTCCTACAGAGGACCAAGGTTCAATTCCCAGCACCCACATGGCGGCTACAAACCGTCCTTAACTCCAGTTCCAGAGGAATCCAAAGCCCTCTTCTGACCTCCGCAGCATTTCACGACACGGGTGCACTCACATACATGCAGGGCAATACACTCATAGGCATAAAAATAATAAATTAAATTTTTTTTTAAATATTAAAAAAAAAATTATAGAGACAATGTTCTGATGAAAGCTGCCAGTGTAGCCAGAGAACGCCAGAGAACGCTTGCCATGAACTATTTCTGATTACGGAGAGGAAAGATAACAGTCTCAGCTCCTGCTAAAGAGTTTTGTTATTGTGATATAAGAATGACTGTCATCAATAGTTGTGTATTTGTCAGTCTTCCACAGATTGAAGTAAGTCAAATGAAAAGGAAGCAGCTGTGCAGTAGGGACAAGTGCAGGCACAATGAGAAAGTACAACAAAAGCAGGCTTCCATGAGCATTCAGAAAGCAGAGTTTAAAAACTGCGTTCTCTTGCAATGTAAGTATATAAAAACTGAGATCACTGATCTGAACCTCAGTCTTAAAATGAACAAACTGAGTCTCCCAATTTGGGTAGTAAATCAAAAAATATTTTATTTATTCATTTTTATTTTATGTGTATGCATGTTTTGCCTGCGTGTGCCATATGTGTATGATGCCTAGGGAGGTCAGAAGAGGGTACTAGATCCCCTAGAACTAGTTAGGGACTGATGTTAGCTGCTGTGTGGTTGCTGGGAATAGAAACTGGGTCCTCTGCAAGAGTAGCCAATGCTCTTAACAGCTAAGCCATCACTCCAGCCCCAGCAATAACCTTTTACATAGTAATTTTTCAACAATTCAATTATTCTTTTATATAACAACTGTGACACATTAGATTCACATATCTAATAGAGACAATTTGCATATCTAAAATATATTCACAGAGCCCGTCCTAGAGCATAGTGTCCTATTTTTCACTTCTAATTTCATTTCTGATTTAAGAGCAAAGCAAAGCAAAACAAAGAAGCCCCATAATACCTTCCACTCAGGGTCATGCTTTCTTTTATCCAAAGATGACTTTTCTCGTTCTTTGGCTTTCTTGTATGCTTTCTTTTCTTCAGCCATTAGAAGTCGAGCAATTTCCTAAAAACGATTCAGCCATATCATTAATGACAGAGTTGTGGCTAGAAAATTATTTGGATACTTCCAAAAAATTTAGATTAGCTAATATCATGAACTGACCTCATCCTGGGCTACTTGAGCTGCTCGCATGTCCACATGAGTAGCCTGTGAACAAGAAAACAACACATAACTGGAATTTGTATAACATAAGTTGCAATTTGCAATTAGTTGTACTGACATCCCTAAGCTGATGATCAGTGGCTGTATTTTCACCAGTCAGAATAGAGGCACTTTCCATCTAATTCTGCAGCAGATCTTTAGAGAAGGACTAGAACCCAATAGAGGAGAGATTAGGATATGGTGTTGTACTGCTAATGCTAATCAATAAGTACAACTGGATTGAACAGGCTCCTCATCTACTTGGGATACATGGCTATACCCCGAGGAAATAACTGCAGACAGTACCAAATCCTATATACAGTATCAAATCTTACATGTTTTTCCTTTGGATACATACTCTTGGTAGTATAATTTACAAAAATAGTCACAGTAAGAGATTAATAACCATAATAATAAAAAAACTTAACAGTACATTGTACTAAAATTTAATTTTTTATCTTTGGATTTTTCCATTTAATTTTTTGCATATTTGGTCATAGATAACCTATATAATGTGAATGGTGAGTAAGGGGGCTATTTTTCCACCCTACTCCCATTGACTTGATTTCCCACTCTTACTAAAGATACTACTTTCTCAACTGAAATGATTATAATACCCATTATATAACCCCTATATGTTGTTATATAACTGTGACTCAACCTACACACAACCCTACTAATATACCTAAACTTCTGCCTTACTATGCACTCACCATAAGTTCTTCTTCTTGCAGTTTTCGAGCAATTTCGGCATCATACCACTCCTGACCCCTGTGGGTCACTCGAGGTGGAGTGGAGACAGCTTCTTTCATTCCTCTTGGTTTCGTTCCTAGAAAAGACTTGGTGGAGTAAGGTAGCTGAGTTGTTTTATGAAAAGCTACAAAGTCTAAGATGAAGATGTTCTCCTTTAACATTCAATACTGACAATACTGCATTGTAGAATTCAGTGCCAGTACAGGGTAGTTTTGAAATAAATTTTTCCTAGGCACGAAAGTAGCAATACACACAATTCAAACATTTTAACAAAGTTACCTTCCTCAACCTGCCTGGCAAAAACTCTTCTCACATAGTTTCTTCCACAGCAGAAAATCATGCAAGAAACTGCAAGGGAAGCAGGCCTTCAAGACAGAAAATGAACAGAGGAAAACAAGCTATTGAAAAGAAAAAGAATTTACAGAAATGAAGGTTCTATAATCAGTGTTAATGTGGCTGAGCTGACAGAAAGGCTTTCTCCCAGTTTCTGAAGGCTGTTCATCTTCCTGCAACACCATCTCCTGCAAGTTAGGTGAAAACATGTCCATGTCAAAATGACCTTTCATGGCCTTGGTCTGATACATGAGCCATCTACTCTAGATCTTTCCTGTAGCTTTCACCCTTCTGTTAATGTAATTATTAAATTTTAGGGGAAAAAAAAACCAAAAAGAACATATCAGGAGAACACAATGACCACAAATTTCTGTTTCTCTGTGGAGAAAGGAACATGAAAAAGTAGTTGACGTGACAATTTTTTTTTTTTACTTTTACATGTTATAGGCAACACACATTTTTTATGAATTTTAATTAAGAAAAATATTAATGGTTATTTCAAAACTGTGAATACTTCCCTTTGTAAACTACAATTAGTCAACAATGTGAATATACTGCACTCAGAAAAAAATAAACAATTCTAATACAAGCGTTGGAACCATCAATTGAGCATTACGTCATCAAAATAAGTATATTTCAACACTGTCTTTAGAAAAATGTCTCACTACACTTGATTGACTAGCTATTAATACACAAATATGAATGAACGGAAAACTAAATGAAGAGCCTTTAGGTTATTTACTGTCATAAGTGTCCTAAGCTGTAATAGTTAATTTCTGTCAACTAGTCAGAGACCTTGAAATACCTGTGAGGAGGGAATCTCAACTGAGGAGTTTCTTTCATTAGATGGGCCTATGGACATATCTGCGGGACCTTTTCTTGATTGTTGATTGATTCTGTGAAGGTATAGCCCACTGGGGGCAGTGCCATCCTTGGGCAGGTGGGCCTGGGTTGTGTAAGAACAGGTAAGCAAGCCAGGGGAAAGAGACCAGTAAGCTGCATTCCTCTGTTTCCACGGCTGACTCCAGGTTCCTGCCTTGATTTCTTTCCTTGGCTTCCCTAGATGATGGACTCTAACTTGCCAGGTGAAATAAACCCTTCCTTCCTCCTCTAGTTGCTTTTGGTCAGTGTTTTATCACAGCAACAACGAAGCAAACCAGGATACGTGTGAAGTTTGTCTGCGGCAAACTCAAAATCCAGACTCCCAGGCATCTCTACCTTATAAAAAGAGCGAGTAATTCTGTCTTTAATTCACACTTTCCAGGTTCTCTGTACACAGACTACCTTAAATCATCTATACAGGTACTGAATCTTGTGCTAGTCTCGGCTGGCTTACCACAGATTTCTGATTGGTTTGGGGTATTCCCAAGAGCAGATCATATATAAATGAAAATTACACTTCCCTGAATCATTAAAGGCATGTTTTATGGAAATTAACTGAAATTAATTAGGGAACTTAACATCGGAGGAGGTCAGTGGGCACATATCCTGCTATACCATACTCCAGTCAGTAGGCAGAAGATGGGCCAATGAATAGCCCAAGCCTGCTGGAAGATTTTCCATCTAGTGAAATGTTGGAAAGGATGCACTCAGCTTTCAAACCATGAAACTTTTTCACTAGTAGACCCTTCTATTCTACACAAAAGAATCAACCAGGAATGTATTCAAGATTAAGTTCTAATTTAACAGTCATAGCTGAGTTGACAGGATCATAAGATTATAACTATTATCAGTTAAGAGAATATAATTTCATTAATAAAATTCAGAATTGGAGGTAATTTCTCTTTCAGGCTCAAATACAAAGCTGAATACAGTTTCTTTAAATCCCTGCTATATCACTGGGATTTGAAATTCACATTACATAGAAACTCCCACAGTGTACAATACTGCCTTCTAGACCAGCAGGACTGGCTCCTCTACACAGTGCCCTTCACACCTGAGGTGATGAGAGGCTTTATGTCAAAAGGAATCACATATTCTGCAATGGGAAGCTGTCATTATAAATGCACAGAAGCTTTTAAAAGTTTGTTGTTGCTGTTTTGATACAGGGTCTCACTATGTAGCTTCCCATGTCCTGAAACTCGTTATGTAGACCAGGGTGGTCTCAAACTCATAGAACTCCACCTGCCTCTGCCTTCTAAATACTGGGATTAAAGGCATGTGCCACTATGACCAGTCATAAAAATTTTGTTTTTCTTTGAAAAAACAAAAACAAAAACAAAGTGAATTAGAGGAAACCGAAGGAACAGCTGCCTACATCTTGGTATTCCAAGTAGAATCTAGAAACTACTTTAAAATAGATGAGCCACATTTCAGTAGTTCATTTTCCCTTCTCCATCTCCCTGTTCCTGTCTCTTATGTGTGCGGTAGGGGGATGGCCATGCTAGGTGTTTTGCTGCTGAGTAACACTCCCAGTTTCCATGTATTTTTAAACCTAATTTTTTTTCTTTAGTATCCTAAAACTGAGTATACAAATACCTCCCAAAACGAACACAATTACAGCATTCTCTTTAAATAAAAGAAGATAAATGGGGAGGGGAGGGCACAGAATAGAGAGTTCTCAAGACAAATGAGAGGTCTCATTATTACTCTGGCTACCCTAGAGCTCACTACATAGACCAGGCTGGCCTTGAACTTACAGTGATCATTCTGTTCTTGTCTCCCAAAAGCTGAGATTCCAGACGTGTACCACTGCACTGACCTAAGTTTTTTTCAACAGCAAGAGCAGACACCAGTGTCTAATTATTATTATATCTTAATGTAAACCACTGACCTACTCCAAGAAGGTTGAGAAATCAAACAGGGCTTGGAAAGATGAAAGTTTTAAAGCAAGCTGAATATAAGCAGAAAAATACTGAGCACTTCATGCAGTAGACATTTTAATAGCTGTCTAGCAACATTATTGTCTAAACTCTGTGCTACCAAGGTAAACATTTATTTACCTGTAACCCAGTACTAGAGCCTGGGACTCAAAAATTTTAGACTCATGTCTCCAACCCCTTAGAACATAATTAAAAGCCCCAGAGGTTAACCATTCCTCAGAGCATATTATAATATCAGGTTCACCAAATTAAAAAACAAAAAAACATAGACGTTAAGGGCTGGAGAGATGGCTAAGCAGTTAAGAGCACTGGCTGTTTTTGCAGAGGACCTAGGCTCGATTCCCAGCACCCAGATGACATGACTAACAAATGTCAATAACTTTAGTTCCAGGTGATCCGGCACCTTCTTCTGACCTACAAAGGCATTGCACAACATGGGTGCACTTATTACATGTATGCAATGTATTCATACACATAAAATAAAAACAGTAAGAATTTAAAAATAAAAGACATGTAGAGGTCAATGGAATCACCCATCTCCTCCTACCCTCCAATCTTTGGAATGCCAATTGTCTACATTTGGTTACAGAGTAATTTTCTCATTAGCCTACTTAATGGACAATACTCTTTTCTGTATTCTCCCACTGCTTCTTGTTCACGTCTCATTTGCATAGTATAACTATTATGGAAGTGTTTATGTATCCAACTTTTAATATGTCATCCATTAATCCTCTAAAGTGTTTGTGTAGCCACATACTACTCCTCTGAAACTCAGATTTTGGCATAAGGATCAAATCAACAACATAGGTGGTATTCAGTATGGCTTGCTAAAGTGAACTTCAATTTTCCTTATAAACAAATCTTATGAGTTAATATGATAGAGAAGCCAACAGAATCAGAACGAATCTGCAACCTAGAAACCAGTTTTATCTGCAAACTAGAAACAAGTTTTGTAATCATAATCGCAGTAGAACATGATTAGACCCTGGCAGGTTCCTCCTCCTTCCCCAATAACCTTTCATGTCTTTAAAATGCAGTACGAGTTGACCGAAACCGAAACAATGAGTATGGTCTATTGAAGTTCCAAACAGCATGGTGCTATGCCACTGTTCGAGCCACATGGAAAATCTCCCTAAGCAAGTTCAAGACAATACGGAGAGCCTTTGCTGTGCCCATGATGGACTTCAGAGTTTAGCTTCAGGGGTACTAAAAACTTAAATTTCTTTCATTTCTTCCAAGAGACTCCCCAGACAGTAACCCAACATAGAACTGGGAAAATAACGGAAGACACCAATCTTATCTAAAGGAATGTTGGAAACTGATTGCTGCTAGGTGAGGAAGAGTTTATCTTCCTAAAATGAGGGACTCTGGATAGGCTGACTAGATTCAGTGGATGAACTTGCACTAGGGAATGGCTGGGGGCACTGGCAACATAGTGGACAGTAACAGGGATGATACAGTATATGGGCTCCAGTTGCGGGGGGCAAGGCTATGGGAAGGTGCCATTTGGGATAAGGTATAAAGATGAATAAGGTTGTTTGGGATGTTCTATATGAAATACACACACACACACACACAATCAATTAAAGAAAGAAAAAATAATTTCAACTGAAAATTTCTATGAGTTGCATACAATATATTTGGAGCATACTTAGACCCCTTCCCCTATCTGCACCCCAGAGGATTTATGTACTCTGTCATATACATTAAGACCTATCAAGCCAAGTTTGTGTCCCCACATGTCCTTAGATGTGTGTCCATCCACTGGAGCCTGTTTAACCTGTCTAGTGTCACACCCTTAAAGAAAGCCAACTATCCCTCTCTCAATAGTTATCAGTTGTCAATAGTTCTTCATCTAAGGTTCTTAATTCCTAAATCCACCTCATTTCTTCATTTGTTTATTTTTGTGGTTGTTGTTGCATATGCATGTGTGATGTGTATGTAAGCATGTGCATGTGTGTGCAGGTGGATACGCATGTGTGTATGGACACCCGTGGTTGATATCAGTTTTCTTTGATGTCTCTCCCCTTGTTAATTGAGGCAGGGTCTCTGGCTGCACCCGAGCTCACCATCTCTATCTAGTCTGGCTATCTAGCTTGCCCCCCGGGATCTTCTGTCTTTGCCTCCTCAGTATTGGGATCACAGATGGCTACTAAGCCTGCCTGACTTTTATGTGGGTTCTGGGGACTTAAATCTGGTCCTCACCCTTATGCATCAAGCCCTTCATCTAGTGAACCATCTCCCCAACACTTATCTACCACATTTCTTCATATGTATTGAGAACTTACCTATATTCGCATTTAGAACAACTGTAGAGATACAAACTTAGAGCATAAAAAGTGACTTAGACTTAAACTTTAATTTTCTACGTATCACTTCCAGGTATAAAGATGTTCAAACTGACCCAAAATGTGCATTTTTAGGAAATACACAAGATTATCTCTGACAAAAATGATCTAAAGAGATTGCCTATCCAATGCCTCATGTTACAGTGAGGAAGGGGTCTTTCTAATCGAGTACTTCTAGTCGTACTGGTGGGCAAACACTTGAGTCACTTACAACTAGGTCTTCTGGGTTCACTGAGATAAAACCAGAACTCCAGAAGCTTTGAATTTGGTATCAGAATATGTGATGAAAGGTCTTGGCAAATGAATCAGTATATTTGGCATGGACACCTCTACTTACAACCTGGATCTGAAAGAACCCTTCAAAGACTTAGTAGTCAGTATATTTTTGTTTTTAGTTTTTTACAGGGTCTCCTGTAGTCCCAGCCCACCTAGAACTCACTATGTAGACCAGGCTGGCCTGGATCTCACAGAGATCAGTCTGCCTCTGCCTCCTGAGTGGTGGGATTCAAGGCATTACCACCATGCCCAGCTTAACTCAATATTCTTATAGGAAGATCTCATACAAGATGTGGCTCCAAGATTTGTGTGAAGGACATGAGTTCAAACAAGATAGGAAGAAAGGTTGCTCAAGATGCTTATTAAGTTCACTGGTTACAGAGATAGATCTACAATACAAGGACTTCTAATAGACTATCCTTCATTACCTGTGTCATGGCGGTGGTACAGTTCTTCATTCTTTGAGAAGGGAGGAGTCCTAGGCCTACGTCTCCTTTCTTTGCGCTCACCTTGCCCATGGTCCCTCCCATACACAGTTTCCTTATGGGGAAGCTCTGTTTTCTTTGAGGACTTGGGTGAAAACTGGTCTTGGTGTTGGGGCTGTTTTTCCCAATTCCGAGTTCGATGGCAACTGTTAGCTTCCCAGTCATTAGACTCGGTGCTGAGAAACACCTCACCATTTATCTTCGGAAGGGAAGGCTTCCGGAGCCGCTCTTGATCAGGCAGTTTCCTTTTGTGCTGCTCACTGGCACTTTGGGCATCACTGCTCCCTTTGCCCCAGCTAGAGGCAGACAGGGATCTCTCTGGTGAACAGTGTTCTTCCAACTCTCCCAAGCTTTCCTCTGTATGACTTGGTTTCATCTTCCTCTGTTCCACAGTCTTCTCATTACTTTGGAGTCTACAAGACCTTGAGTATTCAGAACCCAATTCCCTGGCCCTCCTTGACCTTGGCTGGTCTGAGTGGAGGCAGAGGGATGTAAAAAATAAAAGTGCATAACTTAATGAGAATATGAATTCATAGACAGGAGTGTCGGGGCCCAATAGTAACATATTTTAAAAATTGATAAACTTGCTTTCCAATTTCACAGACTGAGATATGAGATGAATATTTATTGGAATAGTCCATGCATACATAGTCCAAAAGGTAAAAAAAAATAAAAATTATGTGAAATGATCTGAATCTGATAATGATTAGGAAGAATTGAGTACTTTCATATTTGCCAATAACAAAAATCATAGCAATTAAACATTAAATTCTACTTTATAAAATTAATTTGAAGCTAGTATAGATTTAAAAAATAAAGGTTGTGAAGACTTGTAAAATTGGGGGGAAAGAAAAAAAGCTTTGGGATGTCAGTCATAGATTTTCAAGATTCTCATTGGAAGTGATAGTAAAGACACAGCAAAGGTTGCTAATCTAATTTTTGTTTAAAGAAATAGTCCACAGATCCATACCACCTATGTGGCCAAAGCAAACTTTCCCAGCCAGTTCTGGAATGAGCCTATCATACAGTTCATCGTGGAAGAAAGGTAAAGTAGAGGAGAATTTTAAGAAATAAATAACTTTGTTATCTTGAGATAATTCTGTTCCTCATTTTAGTTGAAACTTGGCAAGGAAAAAAGTTAAAAAGGAATGTCATATGGAATACATTAAAAGGGCCATTTTCTAAATTATATTTCAAAAAGATTATCTTCTTTGAATAAAAATTAAGTATATACTACAAATACAAGTTTGCAGTTTAATTCAACTGCAGAACACCACATTTATGGGTGATTTTGTAGGATCTCACTAGACACAAGCATATTATGAACAAAAGAAAGCAAAACAATATGCATTCTGTAAGAACCTGCTAAGTTTAACAATTCTAAAGCATTTACTACACTTTGGAAGTAATAAGAAATCCTAATTCCATGGAAAAATGCTAAAATAGCTAAGCTATATTCCCTGATGAAACTAACCACTTGTTGAACTCCATTTGAAATAGGTGCCACAATTTGATGAGAAACACAAAAAGAAAAGGAGCATAAGCAGGCAATTTTAAGAGTTTTATGGTTTGATTGGGTGGGTTGATAGGGCTAATCTGATAAATGGAACAGAGCATAGGAAGGTATGTGCTAAATCTAATACTCATGAAATAACTTCCACTCAACAGCCTCAACAGTTTCCTTTTATATTTTTGGAAGGAAATTTCCTTCAAAGGGAAGTCTAGATCAAAATCTGTCTTCTAAACAGGTATTTCTGAAAGGCTTTTTGATCCATTGTTTATGGTCTAAATTTATATTTGACAGAAAATTAAAAGTGAAACCATTTCTCCAAGATAAAAACCTGTTCCTTCAAGGTGTTTTTCTGTTTTTGTTTGTTTGTTTGTTTTTTGATTTTAACTCTATCTTTACAACACAGAAAGAACTGGCTACTTCAGTGAATTAATATAATACTGACCAACCAGCTATTAAATGATGACCACATTCCCAGAACAATGGTTTGCAGTGTCCTTACCAGTGTGCTCACAGACTTGTAGGAAAGAAGTCTACTTTTAAGCCCAGAGCAAACACAGATGGTTTTGTTTGAACATGAATTTATGGGGTTATGGTATTTTTTAAAATTAGTTTTTATTAATAAGCTAACTGATAGTAGTTTTACTTTCTACAGTTTACCTATGTTGCCATCTTTAAATCTGGGGTAGGGAAGACAACAGTGGGAGATCTTGTTTAAATCCTTCCCAAACCCTTCTTGCTGTAGACTAAGATTTGAATATGTCTCCAGACAAAGTTATTTGGCAAATATAATTCACTCCTTCATTGGCATACGTGTGTTCATGTGTATATACTTATACATATATACATATATATATATTTTTTAAATGTGTGTCTCCATGTTTTCATTCAAAATAAGATTTTGTTTAAACAAAATATATGTAAGTCACATATGTATAAAAACTGCACTTTTAATACTTTAAATTTTATATTTGCCAAAATTAAATTATTTAATGTTTTCAAAAATCTTTATGAAAGATAAATTTTTATAATTTCATTTTATAGATGAGACAAAAAAAGCTTAAAAAAATCAGAGTAAATAAGTTTGTTAAAGCTTTAATTGTCCTAATGAATGGATAGGACTTAAATGATAGTCTTCAAAGACTATGGCTTAAAAAAAAAATCACAAATATGACCATGATATAAGCAGTTTTGAAAGAAAAACATGGATTCACAAATGAACAATTTATGCCATTTTTCAATGGACACATCTGGAAAATGTTTTATATAATTCAAATTTGTAACCCATAATTAATCATTTTTAAGTTTTATTAAAGCTTATAGAAAGAAAAAGGTGAAAAGACAATCATAATGATGTATTGTGATTATTACGCAACTAAGGAAAAATCAGAATATACAGGAAGATAGAGAATCACAATCAAAGAACTGACCAGATGCGTTGGGAAAGAACCACTGCAAAGAACATAAGGACTGCGTTGTAAATGCAAGGTGAATTATAAGGTAGTCTATAAAATCCAACTTATTCTACCTCAAAGTCATATAAACAAAGATTGTGTATTTAGGAACGTAATTTGCCAATAATACCACAGGTGAGGGAAAAGAAACGCCAGTGTCTGTAACACTCGTTCTGGTGGTCAGCATTCCTTTCCCTCACTATGTCCTCAACACCTCCAAAAGCAAGCACACATGCTATCTCTACAAGCTTAGAAAGCAGTTAAAATAACTACCATTTTATTTTAGATGTTCCTGAAAAACCATACGGTTCTTAACACAGTCTCCTACCCTGGAGGTGACTTGGGACAGCAGCACGTAATGCAAAGGTCTAAGTTCGAGTTAGTCTAGGATCCAACACTGGCTGGCTAAAATGAACACTTTAGTTACTCTTTGCTATCCTAATGTGGCTTAGACTTAAAAGTTTAAAACAGTTTTTTTTTTAATTAAGTGAACATGCTTCCAGAGCAGATTTTAAAATTTAAAAACAAAATGTGTTGCCACCAAAAGTTATATTTCTAAGATTTTAATTGAAGCTAAGGAACAAGAAATCTTTACATTCTGATGTTTATTATATGTCAACAAGTTTTCTTTCTTTGTGAATGATGTAATACGTAATCTCATCAGATAATGTGCATAGGGAAAAGGTTATTAAAAGAGAGGGGAGCATATGGAGGAGGAAGACATCAAGCATTCAAGAATCCACCTGTTTCCCAACAGGCCAGAGAGCTCGGCCTGTTTTAGGTAGAAAAGTAATTTAAGTACAAAAAAACATGATTTGGAAGATTATGCTCGAACTATAGCAGTCCTACCATCTATATCTGAATCCCTTCTGTTTTCTTCAGTAAAGGCAAACACATCCTATCTTCTGTGGTGGAATTATAGAAAGGCAGTTGATAACTGGTTTTCAAGGCCCTCTGAGATAACTGATGTTAAAATTTTTGTTCTCTAGGCTGTCTAAGTTTTATTCCCTGGTAACCCTAAAAGTAAAGCTTAAAACTGAACTTCACTAACAATGACCCATGAGATTAGAGGAACTCTCCATTTACAAATCTTTGAAAAGGAATCAACTATGCTTGCAAATAGTCATTTCCCAACATATTTTTGAGATAAGCACCACCACCACACCACCATCATCACCACCCTGCAAAGCAGGCACTAGGAACTTGAAACTCTAGAGAACTGCATTCCATCAGAAATTATTCTACATGGTAATCAAACAGCAGGAAAGCATAGATACCAAAACATTAACAGTGAATCTCAGTTTAATATTGTTTGTCATCAGAAGTTAAAGAAGGATTGAAGAGAACTTTTTTACCCAGTGACTGATGTATGATGTCCTTTCTTTATTTAGACCTCTTTCATAATCAAATAGCTCTGCTCAGATTTGTTTAAGAAAAAGGCAGTCTAGAAAAAAAACACTTTCTATACCACACATTTTGTACTTAGAAAAAAATACAGCATTATAACAACACAAAAGAACGCTCAAGAGCCACAAAACCACAGTCAAGTTCTAACAGCCAAAAAATGGTTGTCATACAAATACATAATATATCAATTCATTAAAATCAAATAGAATATAATTTTTTAGAAAGTCAAATAGAACCCTCCCACAAATCTAAATGTTCCCAAGTGTGTGGCAGTACGAGACATGTCCCAAGATCTCTCAGGTGACTTTTGGGACCAAATTAAGAGGAGCTCTTGTGGTTGAGGCTAAGGAGAGAACAGGTCGTAATACAGGCATTGGTTGTTACCTCCATCTTCATAGCAGTGATTATCTCCGTAAACATTGCCTCCAGAGAACTCCGGAATGTGCTTCTTTCTCTTTTTCTCTTCTTGTAACTCCTTTTCTTGCAAAAGCCGGGCTATGTCCTATAAAGATAAACAGGAAGAGAAGTAAGTCCCACCAGAGAGTGATCATACTTCACACAGCAGAATTCTACTTTGTACCCCAAGTTCTCCAAGGCTCTGTCCATGGCTCTACAGACTGCCAAGCATTCATCTCATGGTCCAAATGTCACAAACATGACTGCTCAGCAGGAGAGGCACAAAATCTAGAAAACCAGGCTTTATTTTCTCCCTAATTAAAATTTAAAGCTATCTAAATCTAAAGAGACTCAAAGCTACTTCTACAGCAGAATTGTCAAAATATGCATTTTGGGTCCCAAGTGGATGATTTTGAATGGGAAGTATACAGCAAGCTATAAAATTTTATAAACTGTCCTTATAATTATAAAAACTGTAAAAATAATTTTTAGTGACTCCGATTTAGCTTTACATGGAGCACACTGTTAGCAGAAAAAGAAAAAACAGTGTCCTATTTATTTCATCCCAGGCCAATTCTGAGCAGTTGCCATGGATTCTGATTCTATTCACAAAAGATTACTGTCTTTTTATAAAAGGAGAGGTATATACAAAAAAAAAATTAAATTAAAACTGTAAAATACCTCAAAGATGGTTAAAATACTTTTGAGTACCAAAAAGGGAGTATTATTTCTGCTTAAATGAATTTAATGCAAGACTCTGTACTGTGCTGGGTTTTAAACAAAGCACTGAATTTCAATAGGCGAAGTGTAAAGGTCTGAACAGGCATCAGGAACAGACAACAGCTTAATTAGAACATAAGGTGTGAGTGCTGTATAGAAAATGGAGGCTAGACAGTCTAAGGCTGGATACAGATATATCTCACAGGCAATCTCATGGAGTCTGTGCTCTACAACACAGAAGGAGCTGAAGGGTTGTTAGTAAAGGTTTGGAGCTTGGAGAGGCAGTTTCTGAATGTGCGGATTCTGCCCATGAATGCCCCAGATAAGAGCATGTAAATTTTTGTGCTCATGTACACTTTTCTAGAGCTAAGTTTCATATGCTCACCGGACTCAAAGCTCATGGGAACATGGCAATATTACTCATGGTACAAGTGATGATTAAAAAAATAGGTAATTTGATATACTTCTTTATAATAAGAAATGCAGGTAGCACTTAGATCTTAATGATGTACATTTAAAGCAAAAAGTACTTTTCTTTTTGAAAACTTCCAAATATTTTCAAAAAAATATACTAAGACTGCAAAATAACTTTAAAAACTCATTTGAGTGAATCAGAATTTTTTGACATATATAAAGAAACAAGTGCCAAGGATCTCAGAAAGTAACCAACTGTGACTAGTAATAATCAGATACATAGAGATTAGAGACGCATGTGCAAACATCTAAGTGTTAGTTGCATTAAAAGTGAGTTTTTCTCTATGAAACAGTATATTTTAATAATGAAATGGAGATCTTTTTTAAAGGTTAAAACCTCATTCAATTTTATGTCTTATAGGGTTTATACTGAGTACAATATTGAATAACTATTAATTCAACTGTGAACCTAAAAATTTACAACCAATTTTGAAAGAGATGCATCTTAGCTCTGAAAAGTGTTATTGAATATGTCAATGCTGTTGTAATGAAATATAAATAATAATAATTTTAAAAAGAAACAGGATAGATGGTAGAGCTAGGTAAACAAAATTAGAAATGACTGTATCCTCAGGTATTTTTACAGTTTGTCAATATAATCTTATAAATCTGGCAATATGTACAACAATGTCCAATTTTAAACTTTAAATATATTATTAACAAATGGTTTACAACCCATTTATGCACATATAATACACACACAAGAACACACCTGGTAAGTACTTACAGATAATCTATTTATAATTCCATGCTAGATACTTGAGAGTGCACTCACAAAATGCTACAGCTCAGAGCAAGTGGTAAAGGACATGGATGCAATCCTATCTTATACTTTTTTATTCACAAACTATGAATTTTTAGTACTTTAACAGAAAAATCATCCCCTAGGATGCTTCTGTTTTCCTTTCTAGCGCAAGCCAAAATTGTTCTAAAAGTGACACTGGGAGAGGAACATGAATATGAATTTCTTTAGGTCTCAATTCAGCCCTTTATGTCTACGTTCCAGTTACTTTCTATTGCTGTGATAAAAACATTGATCAAAACCAACTTGGGGAGGAAGGGTTTATTTGGCTTACAGGACAGTCCATCACCAAGGGGAGCAAGCCACTAAGCAACATACCTCCATGGTCTGTGCTCCTGGTTCCTGCTCTGAGTCCCTGCCTTGGCTTCCCCTGAGGATAGACTGTGAGCAAACTACCATGTTCCTCACCATCCTGAAGCAGCTGGCTTGATGGAATGGTGGAATGGTCTTTTAAAGACATAGCTACAGCACCAATCAGGTTGGTGGGAGTAGCCTGGAGGGCTGGGGCAAGGTCCTCCAGAAGCCGGTATATGTTTTGAATCACGTCCAATATATGGCACTGTTTCTTGGATAAAGGGGTAGAAGTGGGAATGGCTCCACTCACAATCACCCCTAGTGACCCACTAGGAAATCACCCCCTGTACCTGTGATTCCGTGCTCTGGTGGCCTAGAAGTCTGGTTCCAGAGGGGGGATTGCTTTAGCCAGGAGGCACAACAAACACTCCACTAAACTGGAAGCTAAGACTTCTTCCTGGCCACTTTGGGCTTCTGATGCCCTTAAGTCAACAAGCCAAGAAAGGAATAACAGTATTAGGAGGGGTGATTCAGACTCCCTGGGGCAAAATGTACTTTCTCTACAATGGAAGTAAGGAAAATTAGGTCTGGAAGGCAGGATATTCTTTAGGCCATCCTCTGGTGTTATCATGTTCTGTGATTAAGGTCATTGGGAAACTGCAACAACCCAATCCAGGTGGTAGGATGACAAATGGTCTAGAACCTTCAGGGATGAAGGTGTGGGTTACTCCTCCAGGGAAAGAGTTAAGACTTACAGAGGTGCTCACTGAGGGTAGAGGAAATATAGAATGGGGAGTAGTGGAAGGTAGTTCTATTGGCTAAGGCCTCGTGACCACTTCCAGAAATGAGGATTGGGATTGACATGAGTGTTTTTGTCCTATTTCGTTAAGAACATGCTTATGCACATATGCACATATATTAAGCAGGTATTTGTGCTTTTTTTCCTTTTTAAAAGCTGTATAATTGAGATACGAGTTAAGTGGTTAACTGTTGTAAACCTATATGATCATATATAGATTATGACATACTAAAAGACTAAGCATTCCTCAAGGATATTACTCCCTATTCTAAAATATATAATGCATTTGTGTTTGTATGTGAGATAGTTATATCGTTATGCAGAATTAATGGCCTTGCCATTGTTTTCATTTGGAAATTAAGTGTGACATAAAGAGATGCAATTGGGTGTCAAGTTGACAAGGGGTGGACTTATGATGGCTAAACTTGGTTTTCTGCTTGACAGGATCTGGAATTAACTGAAATGAGAGAGACTTTCTGCATCCAATTATTTGAAGCCTAAAGATCCATGAATTACCTTCTGATGGTAGTTCAATAAGGTCATGGCAGAAGGGAGTGGGTTTTTGCTTTCTGCCTGTTTGCCTTCTCTCTCCTTGGTGGGTTCACCTTGTTGCTGGGGCATTTCTTTGCTAATAGTAGAACCGACTTCTTTGAATTCCAATGCCGAATGAAGACTAGCAGATCTCCAGGAATGCTTCAGGGCTTTGGCACCAGACTGGGATTGCTGAGACATCCAGCCCCGTGGACTGAGTAACTACTGGATCCTCAGTCTCTCCAGTGTGGTACAGCCATGGTTAAACTACTCGGATTCTATCCTGTGAGCCATTAGAGAACCCTGAATAATCTACTGTATGACAAAAAGTGTGAACTATCCAATCTCAAAGTCAAAATGTTTTTGCCTCCTTAATAATCATCTCAATACATCTGTGCATGTTTACCAGATGCCAATGCCTGTGTCAGGGTCATCGCCACTGATGGCTTACAGAGTGACACGTGAATCAGGAAGAGAGATGGGAGGAGAGCTTGTGCCCCTCACACTATCAACTGTTACACAGAATTTCCCAAACTCCTCTACTGCTGACTATAGAAGCAGAAAGAAATACAAACGCCTTCCTGAATTACACCATTGACTAAGCTCCCCAAGTACCATTTTCCTAAGTGCTATGCTCTACAGTAAACAAAACTGTTGCTGCCAAAACTGAAGAAAAAAATACAAAGGAAAATTATCAGGTCCAACTGCCAACAAAATTATAGAACTATACTCTACAGACCTTATAATTGCTTTCCTGCTATTGAATTTAGTCCTCATTAAAATGTAGCAATAATCTATCTCTGAAGAGCTGAGAGTAACACAAGAATTATAGGCCTTCTTTGTAAATGCATTAGCTGGTCAAGGAAGTAGTCAATTAAGTAAAAAAATAATCATAATATGTCATGGACCTGAGCACCCAAATCTTTCTATCCTAAAACCTCAGTTTTCTATCTTAAGAAGAAATGATTTTCCAGATTTGAGGAAGAGAAGGACAAAGATTTGATGGAAAACTGCCAATGTATTACAGGAGAGGCTTAGTAGAAGCCAAGAATTCCACTGAAAGGGCCATTCTCCCCTCTGCTTCCCAATACCACTATGTTCCAATGCAATCACTAAGGTCACTTCAGGAAAAAGAGGTTTCCTCTGAAACAAGCTAAATGTTTAGTATTGGTCAGTGAGCTTGATATAGCTGAACAACTGGTCACCTTTGATAGGAACGGTCTTCTTGATCCTCAGCTTCCTTACTTTAACGACAGAGTACAAAACAGTACTTTCTTACTGCCTCTGTTCCAGAGAACACTATCTCAGCAGATCCTCCAAATAAACAGCACTCAGTGCAAAACATGTACCATAGCTAACTCCTTTTTATAATTTGAGAATTTCATACATGAACACTATACTTACTTTATTTCCACCCCTCCAACTGCCCCATACAACGCCTCCCATGCTGCCCCACTCCCTGTCAATTTCTTGTTCTCTTCATTAT